TCCAGTATTCCTAAAATCTAGCTACTTTGGTAATAACCGATTCAAAATATGCCAATGGGTACATACCTGAGGATTTTGCAAAAAATCTGATATGTCGTTAGGACATGATGGACATTTCTTCACAACCTTTTGTGTCCGAAGGGTTCGACCTCCATGTGTTCTCTCACGTAAAAAAGATTGATCAGCATATGAATCAAGGAGACATGGCTTACAAAAGTTGTGCGCACAGGGCGTTGTAAGAGGAAGACTCATAACTTTGCAGCAAATAAGACAGCTGAATTCTGTGACATTAACCAGTACTTTCTTTTGTTATTTATGTAAACATAAACAAGAATAGGAAGGAAATATGAATTTTGCCAAAGAATTGTACAACTGCAAATTTAGGAGAGGAACATACCTTTCAGAAGTTTTTCCTTAATGGTACTTGGACCATTTCTTCTTCTTTTTCTTTCTCCTGTACTTTCAGTGGTTGAAATCTTTCTACTTGATGGCGGGGGTCTAGTCCATTTCCAGCGACATCCCTCCTGACAAAAGAAGAAGTTTTAATCTCGCACAAAATGAGGCTTTAAAACTGTGTAGTTCAGCATAAAGGCCTATCATATCAATTTGAGTACAAATACAAATCATTAATAGTGGTGGTTTTTTGAAATTTCTAGGTACAATGGATGATTATGCTGTCTATTAGGCTACTATAAACAAAACTCACAAATTTACACTAATTTACTAGTTATAGTAATATTTAATGGCTTTCATGGCCAAGTTTACATTATTAACAATGACTTTTGGCTTGTTCTAGTTTGGTTTTGGCTTAATCATTTATCAAAGAAAAATGTGATTTCAATAGCACATCTTGGTACCTAGTCTCCTCATATAGAATCCAAGAACACATTTTTAATAAGAATATATATTCGCTAATTATCCTTTGCATTTCTGCCCCTTGACCACTAGAAAGAACACAATTGCTCATTAATAAACCTGTGTAATTCTTTCGCAGAGCAGAGCCCAGACACTGGATATTAAAGAAAATAGAATATCATGGGACTCAGTTACAGTGTGGTAAAAGAAAAAATACCATCTTACTTGAAGTATCGCATAGCAGAGGAATTAACTGTGTGCATACCTCATAGTCCCATGCTGCTTTTCCCTTTCTCATTGTAATATCAGTAGCTTGCTTCAGTTCCTTAATTGCAGGCAAAGGTCTAGGGCGATCCCCTTGTTCGTCACTGTAAGAAATTGATAAGGGAAGAAATCTTGAGTGATGCAAGCCTTTTACAAGGTTAGTTAATGCAATGCTAAACAGGAAAAGAAATGTGGCAGATAAATGCCATTAATGACAAGCAAAAAGTTCCAAGATCTTTAATGCATTAGCAATTGAAACAAGATACATCCGAAGATAAAAGCTTAGTAAGAAGCATGAAAGGTTCAAACAAGTACTTCATATTGTACCACAATATCTACAAAGACTTGTCCAGAAAGAATTGATTTTCACATCCTTAAAATTGCGTACAAGATACCAAGATTGAATAGGCAAAGCTAGCAGTACCAAGTAATTTACAGATCTAAACTACATGATAGATTCCATTTTCCTTGATTCATTCTTTAGTAGCCAAAATTTGACTTGCCAAAGTTTACCCAAAATTGAGCAGTATGCTCATAGCCTCATAATTTTGTCAAAATTTCCATCATTGGTCACCTGATGTTTAGTTTTCGTCTTTATTTATCTACCTTACTCTAATAACTGCTCAGCATAGAATTATTTTTGGAAGTCTCAAAGCTTTTTGGTGGTCATACCATACCAACACTCTCAAAAAGTGTCATGCATGATCAAAGAAAAACACATAATTTGTTCACGCCTATGAGTGAGACGTCTTTCTTCCACCCCGCTCAAGATAAATCCAATAGGTAACAATGAAGTTTTTTCCTCTATCCATCCTATTTATAATTTAACATTTTTTTCAAGTTTTCATCAAAACCCTCTCATGCCATTAAACTAGTGTTGGATAAAAACATATCTAAATTCAAACTAAATTTTGGTTCAATATATATCAAATATCTTCATTGAGATAAAGCAGTAATTTACATCTGAAAAGAGTTTGAGAACAGATATGATAGGAGTCAGTTCCTAATGAAAATTAAAGGAAGCTAGAGAGCAAACCTTGTCCAAGGTGCTGGCTCGTTATCACATCGAACAAAAAGATACCTGCAAACCTTGAAACCCTACAGAACCCAAATACTTGCGTGATGCACATGCATTCATTTTAATGAAGAAGAAAATATGCAATACACCCAGTTATGAACTGAAGAGCATACTTGAATCCCAACTTTTCTCCAGCATTTCTCAATCCTGTAAATTCCATCATATCGCACCCCAGTTTCAGGTGCATAAGAAGAACGCTTCTCTTTGTGGGATCTGCTCAGAGAATGGAACAAATAAAGCTATTAAGGGGCATTATTCTAACAATAAAGAAACTTTCAAAACATACAGGATTAAAAAGCAACCCAAATCAGATCCTATTACCCCTTAAGCACCACTACAGAATCAACAGCTCCTGAACAGAAACTTTTAATGGCAGCTTAGATTTAAAGATAGCATGAATCAGATACTCGGATGAAAAACAGCAAGCTGTCTCATGGTACAGAGCAAAAAAATATAGCATGTACGCTGCTGATATCAAAGCATCATGGCCATGACTAATGGCGTAGAGACCCTATAACTTAATTCACTGGACGTAATGTATATCATTTAATGTAATGTGCAAATGTAACTGTATACAATCCAACATATGGAAAATATGAAAGTTCTTATTCATTTATCTACATTCATGGGTATCTACATTGATGTCATTTGACGCGGAAAAATAGCCAGTGTAACATATGTTTACTATTTTAAATAACCATTCATCACACCTCACTACTCTGACAGGGTAACCATTTTTGCAGCTAATACGCAATGCTTCGTTGAGCTTCACAAACTTTTGGTCAAAGGACTGATCCTTATTAGTTCGTTTATTCCCGCTAAGATCTCGTCCACCACTGTTCATTTAAAAAAATGCATAATGATCAGATAATAATAAGGTAAGAAAAAAGAAGTAAGCAAGCAAAGTAAGATTTTGGAAAGAAATATATAACAATAATGATATGTCAAAAAAGATCAAACTTTTAACAGATTGGCTTTAAAAGCTGAGTTACCTTCCAGTATACAAGAACCACTCCCCATGATCTTCATCATCTTGGTATCCTCCAGAAAGGGCAACAGACTGAGCCCCATAAGTAGACTGTCCTGCAATCCCTGCAACATGTGGAAAATGTGCTCCCCATTGCCTGCATTCCATTCTGTCCTCCCACGACTCCCCTACCAATACTCCCCTTTTCCTCTTGGGGTCATGCTCTGCAAGGATTGGACCAAAATGATCTGGAGCAATGGTGACAAATATTTGACCACTGCAAGCATTAGCCTTGCCAGCCTTCTTAGCTCGCTCAGTAGTGAATGCAGTCTCAGGCCTGTTCTCATTGCCAATAAAATGATATGCAGGTGTTGAGCCACATTGTGAAGCTGGCTTTTGTGTCTTTGCCATACGAATAGCAACAACGAGGGCGGAGTTAATTCTTGGTTGGGATGCCATTTTTTGAGGAATAGGAGCACGGCATTGTGCACAAGTGCGCTTACCCTGCCCAATCCATTTCTGAAAGCACTTCAAACAAAAATTGTGACCACAGGGCGTCTGCAAGAAAAGAAACAGCAACAAGGATTGAATACTTAAAACTGATGCAGAAGATGATATGAAATAATACTACATATGTGCATATCATGCAACTGCCTTAATACTGGGAAATGGAATATAATGATTATTCTAGGGAAAAGGAAATCCACATAAGTGTATATCATGCAACTGCCCCAATCCTAGGAAATGGAATATAGTGATTATTTGAAATAATTTCTGCAAAATCAATTATATTTTAATCATTAAACATCACTAACATAGTTTTCTTCCTTCACATGTTGATTGCTAGAGACTACTAGATTCGTTAAGAAAACTGATGATATATCGTTGAATACGTAAATATATGTCCAGTAAAAAATTAAATTTACATAAGTTAGGCTTATTGAATAGTCTCATGTCAGATCATTTTGAAGTAAGATACATTGTATGTGATATAGGTCCAAATCGTGGAAAGTATTTGCTAAAACAACAAGCATGAGTGTAACAATGTTCTGAGCGTAAATGAAAAAAGTATTCTAACATGTATCCAAATCCTTATTTATGCTTTAAAAGATATGGATATGTAAAATCCTTCCGTTGAAAATATTGGGATGGGCACCAATTATGTGGCTATCCAAATAGATAGTTAAATATCCAAATTTATTTCCAACTATCAAGTGATCTTTAGGAGATGGATTAGAATGCGTACTATTTCATTATTCAACATCATAATCAGATTGATATCACTTCTTTTCTATTTAACTTAAAAACAGACTGATATTGCAGGTTGACTCATTATTCTTTCATATATTAAACATATTCAATGTATAATGTACAATATCCAAAACCAATCAGAGTCTTACTCAAAATAGACGCTGATATGAAGGTTGACTTATTTTTCTTTCGTACATTGATCACATTTAATATATCAGGTTCAATATTTATATTCGATCTGATTCTGACTTAAAAACAGGACTGACAGTGAAGGTTCGATAGTTATCTTTCATATATTAACCATATTCAGTGTATCGGTTAAATTAATCGGTTGGTTAAACGCATAAACCATAGAAAATGAATTGAAACCTGAGAGCATGTTCCTATGACAACTTGTCGCTTTTAATAGTTGGACTTAGAGAAAGGCCAGAATCTGATATTTGCTTATACATAGCAGCAATTTTAGTCGGTACTCACATTTCATTATCCTTTCATGATGAAAGGGTGTGCGCTGTGCGGTTGCAAATTATTAATGCTACAATGGTGGTTTCTGGCAATGATTTCCTCATTATCCATTTAATACATAATGGTTATTTACTTTTTACAAATAAGATTGATAATAACACTAAAATTGCCAAGAGCAGACGTATTAAAGTTACAGTTTTTACACTAGTGACTAGACATCCATATTCAGAACCCAACTTCAATGGATGCGCATCATAAGGAGTCGTTACCAGCCAGTCTAAAAAATATCAAAAAGAAAACAAGAAAAAGAGCACTGCGTTTCAAAACATAAATTTCTTATTGTCCATTAAATTAACTTAAAAGGACAAAGTTGCTATTTTTACTTAAACTAACTAATCACAAACATCAACTTACAAAAATACCAACAAAGGTAAAATTGCAGACTCTAATTAACAGATTGCCAAATGAAATGCCTAGACTAGAACTACCAATAACAGCAAAATTCAAGCTTTGCCATAAATTTCAACAGATCTCAAGAGCAATAACACAACCATAAACTCGTCTATTAATTCCAACTTGAACAATTACTAAATTTACTAAAAAAATTATCATCTTTCAACCTACATAAAATCAAAACCACCAAATTATTGTCAAATTTTACTAAAAAGTGTGAGAAGTACTCACAGTCACAGGTCTCTCAGGCAACTGCATACAAAATGAGCACTTAAACTTCGCGTCGAAAAGCCCCATCACATCACCACCCTTCTCCTTCTCCTTCCTCTCACCGTCTCCCTCTTCCTCAACCTCGGCCGCCCAACTTCCCGGCTCATCAGCTCTTGCTCTTCCTCGCCTTCCCCCTTCTCCGTCCAGCGATCTCGATCCCGCTCGTGCCGATTTGCCGCGATCAGCCGTCGCCGCCGGATCACCGCCGGATTCGTCGCCGTCTATTGGGAGGTCGCTCGCCGTCGCCATTTTAGAGAGAGAGAGAGAGAGAGATTTGGGGGTTTGTAGAGAGAGAAAGGGTTTGGGGGGGTTTTTAGAAGGAGAGGGGAGAAAAAAGAGGCGGGGAAATGAAAAGAGAGGACCCGGTTTGAATTTTCACGCTGGCTCTGATTCGTTCGCTGGCGCGCTTCGTTAATTTTTCTTTGGAAGATGAAGGATTTGTAAAAAGGGATTTTAGGTGGGGGTGGAAATTGCAGAATGAAAATTTCCTTTGATGACCTCAGCTTTTTGTAATTTTCAGGGATATATAATTGCACTTCGGTTTTGACTTTTATGTCCCAAACTTTTTTTTTTTTTTGCCAAGACGCTTAAATGCTATAAATTGTACATCTTTCACTTGGACACGCGGTATGTTTTGATGAGGTCCAAGGGGTAGTCAAGGATAAAGGAAGGGAAGTTAACATTTTGATTCTGTTTGGGAGTTTTTTCAAGAAATGTAAAGAATGGTGGGGAAAATAAAATTGTCATTAAAAAGTTGTGCTTTTGTTTCCCATGAAACAGGGTGTATAAAAGAGTAGGAAAAGTAAACTTAAAAGATTTAATATTTGGCTCTCTATCACTATGAATGAACAGCTGACATTTCATTATAAATCATTGTTTCCTTTATATTCCCTTAGTTAGAACTTCTAAACATGATGAACTAAGTTCCTCTCTATTCCCCTCACTAAACTCTGAAAAAATATATTATATTTGTTCTTCCTTTCCCTATTATTGTACCTTTCTTTCCTTCCCCCACTGAACTCCCAAACACAGAGCGTCAGCGTACCAAAGTTAAAATTGTGTAAATTTTGGAGTACCAAATTAAAAGGGGTGTAAACTTTGAGATTTCATAGTGTAACTAAAAATACCAAATTGCAAATTAACCCCGCTTTCCATCATTTATGATGTAGGATAATAGCGCACAAATTCATGGAGCATAGGACTATCACAAGCCAAACACGGATGGCTATGTTGCTGACTTGGACACGAAGAAAAGAAAATATCTCTTAAACCGGAAGACAAAATCAATCATATTGTATATAAAATTTGCCTATCTTGACCGATTCCCAAAATCACATCAATATCACCGACTTTTGTCAAAAAATCTAAAAATAATTAGCATTTAGTTTATTTTTGTATGGTGTTTTTAATCATCAAAGTGCAATCATTTGCCAGCAACGGACAGGTGTACTTCTATATGCAATGTCCCAATCAAATTGGCAGCCAATAGTACCAAGGATCTCGACTTAGCCGACCCGTCGAGTCGACATCCCCTTAGGACGACTCAAAGGGTGATACTTGTCGGTCCTCTTATCAAAAACGATTCGCTACGAGCCCACTCGACCAATTACTCGATACTTTGCGGGGTCGGCTCGAGAGGCGTTACTTTTCGGCCAAGCCAAAGGACGACCTCGACCTCGAGCCTCTCCCACTGACTGAAATTACACTAGAGGGGGGTGAATAGGGTATATGCTAATCTCATCCGATATTAATGCCAAATTAAAACTTATTAACAATATCCTAGCAAGTATGATATACAATGAGATATATGCAAAGATAACAAGTAAACAAAGGGCGATATAAACTATGAGACAATGGCGATATAGAAATATGATAAGCAATGAGCACAAGAATAATACGCCAAGTCAAACACAAACATATAATATGATCACGGAGTTCGGTCACCCTCAACCTACGTCTCCTCTCCTCACTCACGAGGAGAATATCCACTATCACAATCGGTTTTCAATATTCACCGAAAGCGTTTACAATCCACACAATCTGTTTTCTAGCTCACCGAAAACTTTTATAACTCACACAAATACAATCACACAATACACCCTCAAGTGTTGGCCTCTCGCGTATCGCCTTCCTCAAGTGCTCGGTTTACCCCTCTCCCTAGGCTTTACTACTGACGCCGCTCCTCTTGGAATTGACTATGTCTCTCACCACACACTCCTCTCGGTGTACTTATGTATTACAATGTAATCTCACAATGAAGATCAAAGTATAAGTTTGTTCTCTACAATGGATGAGAACTCAATGATGCTCACTCTCAATACTACAAACCCCACAACTCAAATATACACTACGTGAAAATACCAAAAGCTCAAGTGAGTTATGTGTGTAAGCAATGAGTATAATAAAATGCAAACTCAATATAAAATCTAACTTAATAAAAATAATAATAAATAAATAATATAAATATAAAACCAGCACTGAGTTTAGCAAAACTTCTCTAAAAATCAAGAGTGAGAGAGATTGAGATTGAAGCCCAAAAACGAAAGTAATGATCTCCTCCTCTTCTGAAAACTTCTCCACATAAACACTTGTAAAACAAACTCAAAAACACCCTTAAAACCTTTATAAAATTGTTTAAAACTTTTTTAGATCTATCTAAGTGTTGAGGGCTGGCGGATATTTATATGTTCTCAATACAATAGCCCAAAGCCAAAGAACAACATAAAAAACAAGGCAAAAAACCCCAAAAAATGAGATTTGGAAAAAAAACTAGCCGTTATGCAATGGCTCTCTAGTCGATCGACTGAATTTCAAGTGTCGGTCGACCGAACTTAGGTCTCTGGTTGACTGGATGAAGTGTGTCAGTCGACCGAAATCATGCACACGCAGATTTGACAGATCCTGAATTTTTTGCGTAGCTGGCTTTACAAAATCAATTAAAAATACCAAATCAACTCCAAAAATTGTAAAATTTTGAGAAAAGTTTCTACACATGTAGATACACATTTTAGAGGGAAAAAATTCTATAATACCTATTGTACGTAGTAGAATCGAAGGACACGAACAAGATAGAAGAATAACTCAACAACCAAACACAAGCACCACACAACAAGATACCAAATTTTACGTGGTTCGGCAATGTGCCTACGTCCACGAGGCAATGAGGGGGAAGATTTCACTAATAGAGAGAGTACAAATAGGGTTTACAATCACTTAATAATCTCACAAAAATAACCCTCAAACAAAACTCTTAAATCCCTCACAAATTCTCCCTTTCTAAGTGCTCAAAACAATGCTCAAATCTCAACTCCCTTAACCCTAGAAATGTCGTGTTCCTATTTATATCAAATAGGAATACAAAACAGGTCAGGAAATGAACAGGGCCCAAAACTGCTACGTGGTCTACCGGGCATGAGCATCTGGTCGACCGGCTAGAAGCCCAAACTCTCACCCTGTAACTCAGCATACCTTCGGTTGACCGCACATACATGATCGATTGACTGGCCAGACGTAGCAATCCAAACCTGTAATTGTGCACCTTTTCGGTCAACCGAACATGTATGTTCGATCGACTGGCCAGCGACAGGGTTTCTCACCCTGTAATTTCACAGTATGTCGGTCGATCGACCTATGCACTTCGGTCGACTGACCCGTGACTAGTCCTGTGCACTCCAAATTTCATGATCTTCTTTGCCATTTCTACAATACCACTTCCTATTTGTGAGAAATCACTATTTTAAAATAGATGTTCCAGATTCTAAAAACTGCTGAAATACTTGAGTTTGTAAAATTGATTTAACATAGTAAATCAACTCTAAAAATTGTAAAACTTGGAGAAATGTTTGTAAACATGATATTGAATATGTTAGACAAAGAATTTTTAAATTATATTTCCTATTTGTGAAAACTCAAGTATTTTGCAAACAGTTTAAAAATGTGAAAATGTTAAAACTTGATTTTGATAAAATTTCTTCAAACAAGTTTTAAAACACTTTTAAATAGATTTACAGACTTGAGAAAAGATATAAAATCATACTGTTAAGTCTATAATCCAAAAACATAATATTTTCTCAAAATTGTGTACGTGTATGAATTTTGAGCTCTAAGTATAAACACACAAAGTATAAACCTAAAACACTATACCCAAACAATTTGATCTTCAATAAAGCTTGTATTGGTTGCGGATGAATCTTGGAAGTGTAATTTGACTTTGAATTGTAAGACTTCATTCTGATATTCCGCCAACCTCCGTTGAATGTCATCGTTAAGGCACAATCCATCCAACCTCCAACTTCGAAACTTTGTGTAAGATACCTAACAATCAAATGCAAACACTTGACAAACATTGTTAGGAATTATTTGTTAATCATCAAAACTAGATTAGATAGTAGACTCATAAACATGAGACCTAACACTGACAACGTGTCAGCATCGTATTTAATGCTTGTCAGGCGTCATCCTGCCTCTAGCCCTGATAACCTTCATGACTCATCGGACTACGTCGGTACCGCCATGCCCCCGATCACTTCTCATTTAATACTAAGGTGATTTTTCCTCTACTCGCCGAGCGACACTTATAAAGTAGGTGCTGACGCAGCCGCCAACCCATACCTACTTACCACTATCCTGTGCTCAGTCGAAATGACAGTTCTACCCATATACCACCAGTATAAATAGAGATACTATTCTAACATAAGAAGTACTTGAAACATGACACTTCCTTAAGTTAATTAGTCCTCTAAATCACTGTTGTCATTTAGTAATAAAGAATTAGGGAGATTAAATATCACAACCTATGACTTAATTACGCGCTTATGATGTATCAACTGTTTAGATCAACTAATTATCATCTTAGTAGTATTTGTACTCCAAATGATATTAAAGATGTGGTGATATCATGAAAGACAGTAATATATTATTTTTCTTGTTTTTCTATGATGGTAACAACCAAATTCCTCTCTTAAAATTTTTGATAATATTCATATTGTTTGACAACTCTAAGTTTAATGCTATTTAAAATATTGTATAGCTAAAGGGATTATGTAAGTCTATTTTTTCTGTAAATGCATATGATTTATATAGTTGATAACTGCGTGTGTAACATAGTTGTGGGTATTGTAGATGGATGGTGACGGAGTTGATGAGGAAACGGTTATGACAATGGTCTCAGGGGTTGCATTTTCTGTTATGGTGATAGTATTTACTTTTTTAAGGAGAATGCAAAGTAGACGTAGAAGTATATATAGGGG